CCCCCCACCCCCCCCCAGTGCTGGCAGCATCTGCGGGAGCTCCCCACTCACTGCCGCCGTGCTCCTGCCAGCACTGCTGTGCCCCCTCAGCCGCCAGGGGCACACACCATTCGCAGCCTCAGATAAGAAATGAACTTGGCTTTAGTTTCCCCAGCCATGAAAATCATGAATAGTTTCCTACTACACAGGTTACTGCAAGGTTAAGGGCTGTAACTGGTCCCAATATTCCTAAGGGAGGGTGCAAAAGAAATGCAAGTTATGTTGAAAAGGCTCTGCTGTTCCTAATGGCAATCTGAAGAAAGGGTCCGAGAAAGAGACTTGGATCCAAGTTTCAAAATGCAAAGAAACCTGCGAGCTGTAGAATCCTGATATACACCAACTTAATCATCTTTGACATCAGTTTTCTTTATGAAAGCGAGGCTCATGATTCAGTTCTGACGTTTAAACTACTGCCTCTTAAAACTGTCAGACCTTTCTTTGATCAGAGCTTTCATAATCAATGTGAATTCAGGTACCATTACTGAGGAGGTTCAATATGCATCTTTATAGATGATTTGATACTTTTTAAAAACATCAGTGGAGCTAGAGAATCTAAAAATCACAGCCTATGTAGATATTTTAAAAACTAAAAAGAATTTGAGAGATTTTTTGGTAAGGTATTCAAACCCTTAAGTATCTGTTCATTCAGAAATAGTTGAGAGATTCACAGACTGATGCAAATATTATTGGGCATTAAGTTCTTGGGTTTGCATTATGCAAGAAGTCAAACTATATGATTATAATGGGGTCTTATGGATTTGAGGCTAAGCACATTAAGAACTGCCTTTTTGCTATGTGGTAGGCACCATTAACACAGCACTATTGGCTAAGGATATCACCTTCCAATTACTGTAGCTTTTGTGTACTTTGCATGTTATAATTTTAGCAAATTTGTGATCATCTTCTCTCTTCTGGAAGGCTGTTACTAGAACAAGAAATCCACCCCTTCCTATCCTGGGAGTTAAATTATTTTCATTTTAGCTAAATTGTGTAAGTGCGGTCTTGTTCCAGGATCGATCGCAGAATATAACCTGTGTTCCCAGGTTTGTTTTATATAAAAGTCGGAAAGAAAAAAAAAAAAAAAAAGCCTTCCCACAAACAGGCCCTGTAACACACAATAGTTTAAAACCTTACCATACACTCTCCGCCAAGAAAATCTGGGATAATTTCTTTATCGATGTAATCCAGGAGCCCCCCAGGACCTTGATAGTCATTCCCTGCATAAATCAGGAATTTTTTTCTAGTGTTGTCATCAATGAATGGACTAACCTATAAATAAAGAAAAAACAAAACTGGTCAGGTCCCCAGAAATCTCTGGATGTGATTTATCATATGAAGCTCAAGCAGATACCATAAATAAGTTAACTTATTTCTGTCACACAAGCCTGTTTTCCTCTTAGGAATTTTTGTTCTAATTTCAGAAATTAAGTGTCCTACAAAACATTAAATTTCCAAGTGGTGAAACATTAAATGTCCTGATTATACTATACTAGATATTAGGTTTAAAAAGTGTGAGGTAGGTGTGTGGCTACTAAAACTACAAAACAGAGTCATAATTAGCAAGATTTGTGCCCTGGACAAAACCCTGCTGGAGGGCAGACAGGAGGGAAGGGGGCCAGAACACAGGGCAGGGGGGGCAGGAGTCCCCAGACGCAACTACTATAGCAGCAGCATGATGTCCCTGCACTCAGTGGCTGCTGCTGGCACGGAGCAGACTTCCTGGGGGGCTGCCATTCTAGCACTGTCTTTAAAGTTAGTGTGGAAGGCTGGTGGTCTGCCCACCGCTTGTTAAACTACTGTACAAACTTACCAGCGTCCAAAGGACTGGGAAAACCCTAGGGGCACGCAGGATGAGAAGACGACCCAACGTTTCAGGGTAATTAGCTTCAACCACTTCAATGATCCTCAGTAAAGCTTTGACACCAGGTCTCCACAAATGGCGCATGTTCAAACCTTCCAGATCCACCAGACAGGTCCACGAGCTGTCAAATTTAAAAAGCAAGATTTTTCTTTTATTTTTTCCCCAACAGAAACCCACTGAATATTTTTACTAATAACATCAGTTGGATGTTCTGAAATGTAAGTACTCTGGTTCCATTCTCAGAGATCTACAACTTTTGGCAAGGCTATATTCTCCCTTGAGTACTTAGTTACAGAACTCAGTCCCAACTCCTCTTCACATTTTGTGCTTCCTGAAGATGCAGGAGACTGTAGTGGAAATGGTTTCTTAACATTAAAGGATTTCACAATATGCCACATATACTCAGTTAAGGCAGGAAGAAAAAAAGAGCACCAAGTGCATGCTGACATATGGCATGTATATCACCATATGACAGACATTGAGGGCCAATTAAAAAAAAAAATTACTGGTAGCAAAACACCAAGACATCACCATAGTGCCTAATAAGGGTTAAATCACTGCCCTGAATAGAAATAACATTTCTAGAAAGTTACGCTCAGTCTCAAGTGCTTCATATGCTGGGCATATTACCTAATAATGGTGTGGGTTTTTTTAATAATCCCATTACACTTCAGGATGCATCCCAATCCAGGGATGTTTAGTACACACTTAAATCCCACTAAGGTCAACAGGATTTAAGCACATGCTCTTGTGTTTTTCTGAATCAGCAATTTACCTGAACATGCATTTAGGGCTTATCCTTATACATGCATAGCTGTCTGAATTCACTCTAGACCTGTAGTTTGACGTCATGTGACTCGGATGAAGCAAAGCCTTTTGGCATTTAAATATTTGTTACATATTTGGTTGCCACTGCTACCCTGACTTTTAAATCCCTTGGCCAGCTAAAGGTCTTAGG